GATACAGTGATCAGCAAATAAAACAAAATAGTATGTAAAGCCAATTAATAACAATTTGCCTTAAAAGTTCCACCAACTTTCAAAGCGATTTCCACAATGGAGCCTTTGGGAGACTTTACGCACACACACATATCTCATAAATACATCCATCATGTATCCGTATATCTTTGTTTTTTCTGAGAGAGTGCCAGCAGTCCTGGCTCTGAGAGAGTGCCATGAACCCGTGAGGGTGAGTTTCCACGTTGGGAGGATATGGTGCTCATGATGCGTGTATGGAGGGTGGGGTGGTGGAGCCGGCACTACGGCTCACTGAGCCCGAATCTTGCATTGGATTGGTAGCAAGGTCTCGGCGTCTGGTTTCCGGCACTGAACCAATCCATAATCCAGTGTCTGGTTTCCGGCACTGAACCAATCCCAAATCCAGTGTCTGGTTTCCGGCACTGAACTATATCCATAATCCAGTGTCTGGTTTCCGGCACTGAGCCAAGCCAGTGTCTGGTTTCCGTCACTGGATTGGTAATAAGGTTTTAAATTAAGCTTCATGAATGGTGTCGGTGACATGAAGCCGCAAACCCATTGGCAAAGAGTGCCTCGAAACAAGCACCAATTAGGCCTTGAAAGAGCGCCAGTAAACAAGATGTCATGGCAACTAGCTTTGAAAGCCTCCTGTTAAAAATCGTTGGCTCTGAACGAGTGCCTGGCATTAAAACCATGCTATATAGCATGGCAGTTTCTAAGACATTTGCTAAGTTTCAATCTGGCGCTGGGAGAGTGCCATGCCATGCTTCAATAAAGGCGCTGGGAGAGTGCCCTAAAGTTGCAAGAGTGTCGAGACAGCGAAACTTGAACAAGTCCAAGTGTTTGTTTCAGGTGGGGCCTCAACATGGGCCAAAGTCAACTTCTTATTCCTGCCAAACAAATTCATTTTGAAGGGAAGAGAGGTGTTCTGTTTTGCACAGGTACCGCGACAGATTGAGAGGCCTTTCACAATGGAAGGTGGGACAATTGATTATATACTCTATACATGCATTCAAATTATCGATGAATTCCCTTACTACTCAGTTATGGAAGTAATATGGTTGCCTGGGATGATTTGAGAATGCTTCCTTCCCGAAGGTGATTTGTGTACGAAGTCTTGACTTTGTTGCGGCCAGCGACCCAGCTTGAATTTAATTGATGTGTGTGTGTGCGTGAAGCATCTTCGAACGATGTGCAACCTGCAGTGCTGCCAAGCTTTATGGTTTCCTGCAGTGTTTTACAGGAATGTCAATAGACAGAATTTTTGTGTAGCTTATTGTCTACAAGGCCCAGGCCTCCAGCACATTGATTGACGTATGAAGGTAGAACCAAAAGATTCTGACGAATTTTGAAATACACGACATGGCATTGTCTGAAACATCGCAGAAGCTTCAGCCAGTAGCTATGACCGATTCTGATGGTGGCCTCAGCCTTCCATCAAATCCTGGAAGTGCCAGTGAAGAAGAAGTTGAACAAGGTGCTGTTAGTAGCCAACTTCCAGGGGAATCTCAGTGTTGTGATGCTGATTGCTTGGATCGCATTACTTCCATGCCTGAGTACTCCCGGAAAGCTGATGAGATACGACAAGCTATCAAAGAAGAACTTGGATTGGAGAAACGAAATGAATTTCAGTTTCAAGTCCTCAGAACTTGGATGGCCGGTGAGTCTTCGAAGAGCCAGTCCCAGCGACGATATCAGTTTCAAGACTTGCCAATTTGCCGCATAGCAGCTTCTGACATTTTGCAATGCAACAAGGGCAAGGTGACGAAGCTGACCAAGGAGATTGTGGATGGGCGTGTCTCTGCTCCCAGGGACTTGCGCGTTGGAGGTGGCCAGGTGAAGATGCCTCGACAGGAGTCGCTCCAAGTGCAGAATGCTGAGACCATGTGGTGCTGGGTCCACAGTTTCTTAGCAGAGCCCCTTGCAGAAGGTGTGGGCAAGGTGAAGTTCGATGTGGCAACCAAAGTCAAGGAGCTTTTGAAAATGGATCCAGTGTCTGAAGTCTTCAATGCTTCCTCCCTGGAGCCCAGACATGTGCACCCGAATGTTACATTGAGTGAGCTGTTGCTTGGCTGTTCGCCAAACTTTTTTTTCTTTGCAAATTGGTTTCAAAGATTGTGTTTGGATTCATGTTTTGTGTTGGATCCCATGGATATAGATTCTGAATTCGCTTGTCGACTTTTTATCCAGGCTGGACGTTGCCAAGAACTTCCTCTCTCACTTGCAGCCACCGCCGTCCTACAGAACTTGGGTCCGAATCTACCATAGATCTTGGGAAAAGACTGTACGCTTCAGAGGCGAAAACCAGCATAGCAAGTGCAGTGTCTGCGAAGACATGAAAGAGTACAAGCGACAGGCTTCGACTCTGTCTGATGCCAATCTGGTTGCCAATGCTTATGTCCAGCATCTCCACTTGATGCTTCAAGACAGGAAGGCCGATGCATTCTGGAGACAGATCGGTTTTGACAGTGTGAAGAGTGGAGTTACCTTTCTTCATGAAGGAGCATCGACATGGCTCACAATGACAATTGATGGCATGGACTGTGCCAAGTTCAAAGTACCGTTGAACATCAGTCAAAGCAAACTGTTTCAAAGGATGCATCGCCCAGAGATGAAACTGAGCCTGGTTGTCCGCCAGCGTGTGATTAAGTAACGTTTTTGGATTTCATGCCCCCACCCAGTTAGCTGGGCATTGTACTTTTGAATGCTTTTGGATATATATAGCTGCGAGTTAGGTGGTAGATGGACTGTTGGAAATCTACAATTTGATGAACCACGACATTCCTACAACTGCCAACTTGGACATCTCTTTGATCAGTGATGCCATGCTGTTGTGCTACAACCGTCTGCATGCAGCGGGACTTCAATTTCCAAAAGGCTTGAGGGTCCATGCGGATAACTGTACATCAGAGACCAAGAACCAGGTGGCATTCAAGGCCGGAGCCTTCATGATCTGTCAAGGTTTCTTTGACGTCATTGTTTGGAGTTATTTCCAGACAGGGCATTCCCATGGACTCCCTGACCAGAGATTTTCTGAAGTACGGCACCTGCTGTTCCAAGAATCGACGTTGCAAACACCTTCCGATTTTGTCAAAGTCTTGGAGAAAGTCAAACCTAGACAACAGAGAGAGTTGGCTGAGAGTGGAGTGTATGGAAGACTGGAACAAGTTTCTGGAGCCATTGGAAATTACCCTCCACAGCCACAACACTACACGTCGAATGAAACAAGCTGGGCAGCATGCGTGCCACTATTTCCTCATGGTGACTCGGGAGAAGTATGCTCAATTTGGAGATGTTGGCATGGTGGAAAACTTTCAGGATGAGCCGCCCAGCCCAAAGGATGTCGTGCTGGTGCTGAAATCGCATTTGTCCTCGGATGACATCTCACAGAAACCTTTTGTGTTTCTACCGGCTTCTGCTCTTCAGAATCTGCAAGGTTGGCCAGAGTACACGGTTCAACTGAACAAAATGTCCAAGGAGACTGAAAAAGAACTCCGGAAGACCATAGAAAAGGTCACCCAACCACCATGGCACATGGAGGCGGCTGCTGAATACATTGAGCAACTCATTCGCCAATCGGGGTGCCATCCACAATGTGTTCGTGACTCTCACCCACTGGAAGAATTGAAAGCGAAGCTGGCAGATGGAGAATCCAAGCCAGAGCCCGGTGTGTTCAAGGCCAGGGGGTCCAACACAACTTGTCAGTTCTTAATTAACATCCAGTGAATACTATCAAGAACCTACTACCCGGGTTCTAACACAGTAGTATGTTAGAATGCCGATAAATGATGTGATGTTGCGAATTCCGATGGCTGATTCCGAGGCATCAGACATGGACTTTTGGAAGACGGACCCTGCGAAAGTGGAGGTGAAGAGAGCGGCAAAGAAGAGATCTGCAGCGAAGTCTAAGGCAGCTGTGCCTGTGAGTGGCGCCCAGCCTTCACATGCAGCGGTTGCAATCGACCTTCCCAGTGGAAACGAGGATGAAGCTGCTCCTGCTGCAGGACCTGGACTTCCAGCTGGCCCGAGGCTGGTTGAGGACGATGATGTTCCAATGTCTTTGCCGAGCCCAGCCGAGAGTATTCATGATGAAGACCCTGGGCATGGGCGTGGGCGTGGGCGTGGCAGGGGCCTCAAGAGGCCTGCTGCAGCAACATCAAAATCTGTGCCAAAGATGAAAAAGCCAGCGGCGGCTGAGTTGAGGCTAGCTGCACCGGCAGCATCAGATGCAGCTCCACCAGCAGATGCAGCCCCACCTGCAGATGCAGCCCCACCTGCAGCAGCAGGGGCTGATGAGCCACAGGAGGGTGGCAGAGTCCTCAAGATCCGTGGAGCGTTGCAAGTTGTGCTGGAGGAAGGCATGACATTAGGATGCCCGAAATGCAGGGATTCCAAAGTTGGATGTCGCACTTGCAGGATGGCTCAAGGCCTCCGACTGATTGGCAGCATCTTGGCTAGATTTGATTTATTTTTTTGGAGAAGCCTGCCATTGTTTTTGATCCACTCTGGATAAACCGAAGTTATTATTCTTAGATTGTAGTAATACTAATACTAAGTTATTCATTTTCTTGGGTGCTCACAGATCACTGACTGACCGAGATACTTGGAAAAAACCATGAGCGATGATTATCTTGGTGGATGACGGCTTTCTTGCAGTGCCAATTTTGATCTGAAGTTGCTGGCATGCTGACAGCTCCGAGCTCCCATGGAACAAAAAGGGCCTCGCTGTCTCTGTGGCTCTGGTGCTGGAAGAGTACCGGCTTTTTCAGTCCAGCAAGTTTCTCTAAGCCATGAATGAAATCACAATCATTTGAAGATAGTAAGCTGCTCTGCATTTTTCAAGTCAGTGGCCCAACACTTTCAGGACTGACTGCCTCGTCGTCTGGGTCCAGAAGTGCCCCTGCCAAGCCTCATTTGATTTCCAACTTGTGTGAATGTCCTGTATCAAGTTGCCAAGCTTGTCAGTGAACAGTGTTTTTGGCACAGAATCTGTGGCCCAAGTAAGCTGTGGTTTCGATAGCTGTGCAAAACAGCTGCAGCTTCAGCTATGCCGGCTGTTCATTCATCGCGTTTGTGTGATGATGATGTGGTCATGGTTTCCAGTGATGATGACCTAGAAGACAATGTGGAGATTGTTCCAACCACTTCACCAAGACATGGCCATCCAGATGATCGTTTTTTTCATTTCATGGAGATCTACAGCCCCTTCAGGGTAGCTGCAAGCATCCACAAAATGGGAATGGCTTCAGCTGCAAGCCTGGATGTCATCAATGGTTGCGACTTACTCACGACAGATGGAAGGATGATAGCCCTAGCACTCCTGGCCGAAAGACGGCCGATGTTCTTGATGACATCTCCTCCTTGCACAATGTACAGTGAACTAACCCGCCTTTGGAATGCTGCCAAGATGAGTTGGGAAGTTCGTGCCCTTCGACAACGTGATGCGGACCACATGTTGAAGTTTGCCTTAGAGATGTGCCGTATACAGGGCAAGGCTGGGAGGTTGTGGTGCCATGAACATCCCCACCGGGCTTCAAGCTGGAAGATGGACATTGCATCTTGTTCTTGCTTGTGGTGGATTCTTTTGTGTAATGTAATGTTTAAATCATTAATTATTTAACAAATAAAGATCAAATATCATTCATCCAATGGTCAGACTTAGTAGCATTTACTTTCACTGTCACATTCCATTTTTTGTGGAAAACTTGGGAGTTGGATAAGGTAAAGCAACTGGCTTCCCACCCAGACACGAAGATGGTGACGTTTGACCAGCTGCTTGGCCTTTATAATTGCAATGCAAGAGTTACCGATCATGTGGCACTGAAAGAGTTGCCAATCATAAGGCGCTGCAAGAGTTGCCAATCGGCACTGAAAGAGTTGCCAATCATAAGGCGCTGCAAGAGTTGCCAATCGGCACTGAAAGAGTTGCCAATCATCTGGCCCTGAAAAAGTTGCCAATTCAATCATATGGCACTGCAAGAGTTGCCAAACGAGTGATGATTTTCCCCTTGTTGTTTGTGTGTTTGTGCGCTTTCATGCAATAATAGTTGGCCCCTGTTCACCATATTGATATATAGAAACATATTATTTGGGATTAGAGGCGGGTCTTTGCATACGCAGCCATTTTAGAATCCAAGCCCATCAAGAGAGATGTCATCCAGCATGCCAGTGAAGCGGGCACCTGCTACACGTATCCGGTTCAGCCGGGATGAATGGCTTCACTACTTGATGCAGACATCAGATGAGAAGATTTGCGCTTCATGTTGGGCTACACAGTTAAAGAGTTTCCTTGATATGCCACTGGGGAAAAATTATTGACTTATTTTTTGAAATACACATGTTTATTTTTCGTTTTATATTATTTCAAAATAGCAAGCCGGTCTGCCAGACAGGTCATCCTACAATAACCTCTTGATGACCAGCAAAGATTGCAAATGCGATCAGGACGACAAAGGCGTCTTGATGACCAGCAATTGTACATGTGCTCGGGATGGCTGTGATCTGCAGCATTGCAAATAGTTTGCAGGTGTCAGAACGGAGATGTGGTTGTGATCGCATCTTTCAATTACAAGCCGTGCTTGCAATTAGCCGATTTAGGGGACCATGATGACTGACCGGGAAAAAGTTGTTTTTGTGTGAGCCGCCCACTTCTGTGCTGACATGTGCTGGCTGTGGGATTGTGTTTCTTGAAGCTGTGTGCCAGCCCTGCAAGATATGCGTAACTTTGTCATCTTAGGTGCAGGACTGGCCTATGTGCCCCAGGCTCTACTTCTGAGCAGCACCCAATCCGCAAGCGCACCACGCTCATGACAAATTCACAGAGCGTGGTGGATATCTTCCGGAAGCTTCAGTGTCAGTGCCAAGTACCTCACTTTCATGTCCAGGGTTCCTACAACGGCATCCCAGTTTCGAAGCACTGTCAGGTGTACACCCCTGGCTTATGCGAAAAGCTTGCTGAAGCCGTGTGGGATGAGTTTAGAAAGAGAAATTAGGCTGGCTTCAAATTAGCCTGGTTGGCTCAATTCAAACAGCAAAGATTTGCAATGACCAGCTGATAAAAAATTAAACTTGCTGTTTCCGAGCGAAGTGGGGGTGCAGGATTCGTGCAGGGGGGCTTAGCCTGGGTTCAGCTGAAACCGAGCGAAGTTAGGGTAGTCTAGATAGATCCGAGCGAAGTGGGGGTACGGGATTCCTGTAGAGGGGCTTAGCCTGGAAGTGATCACAACCATGGGGGGTAGCCTGGTTTCAGCTGAAACCGAGCTAAGGGGGGGTACAGGATTCCTGCAGGGTAGGTTAGCTTCGTTTTTGATTTTTTCTTGACTTTGAATTTGAATTGGTTCTGATTGCAGCAGTTGGGGTTTAAAGGCGATCAGTCCAATTTGGCCTGGATGGCAGACATCATGGCAGCACCTGTGACTCCAGGCGGCATGTCCGAGAGCATAGAAGAACTTCTTGACAAGTCAATGGAATCAGAATCAGCCAATGAGACACGTTCAAAGGCTGATGAGGATCTTTTTTCAATGGCCAAGAAGGAAGAAGATGTGAAGATGGAGCAGGCTAAATCTGACTTGAGAGCGCTGGAAGATGCAGTGAAATCAGCAGGCACTGAAGATTTCAAGCCTGCGTTTTATGCCTTTGGGAAGGCAGTTCTTGAGCATTGCAATGGTGCCCGCAATGTCTTGACTTCGGTGCTTGGGGACGAGTTGGCCCATGGTCAAGAGTTTCTGAATCAGATCGCTGAGTTCTTTCCGAAGAGTGATGCCATTAGCTTTGCTACTCAGCTTCCTGGCAATGACTCAGATGAGTTCAATTTGCATTTGACAGATCTGAGCTGGCTGCCACATTCCTCGACAAAGCCAGCCCCATACCTCCACACTTGCCTGCAACTTTGGGATGAGATCACCACCAATGGCTTTATCACCAAAGGTGCCTCAATTTCAAGTTGTTTGTTGTGTATATTTTCACTTTCTTGCAGAATCTTGCAGGTGGGGGTCAAAATCCTGTCTTCCAGGTGGGGGTCAAAATTTGTTTGCTGAGGTGATCCGATTCTACTTTGGGATGGCCCCACTGGGCATGCTGACAAAGGGAAATTTGCTTGGGTTTACTTCTTGAAGGGTGCTGCGAGAGCTTCAATGGCTTTGTTCACTGCTGTCATTTCTGTGAATCTGGGTTCTTCGGCTTTAACTTTCATATACATTTGTCCAACCCTTAAATTTTGACGGAGGCCCCTGGAATTGAACAACAGATTCAACGTCTTTAACTTTGTTTTTTGCCAGTCAGGCGTGAGACTGTCAGTCTTGCATCGTGAGCTGTATGACAGCCTGATGGTGATCCGCTGCCGCCGTGGTTCTATGTCCCATGATTTGATGCAAGTGGCCTTCACAAATGCGAAGCTGAGCAGCAGGGGTGCCATCAGGAAGTCTCATGATGTTGCTTGCTGGCTTTCGAAGATGAGCATGCTGGTTGATCGCGGGCTGAAGGCTGAGAGTGCTATCAAGGCGTGGAATCAGGAGGCGACAAGAGAAAGCCAACTCACTGGACAGAAGCGGGTGGCCTTGCTGGCATTGTTGTCAGGGCCAGATGGGACAACGAAATTGCTGCTGGACCATGCCAGTTTCTTTGGGTCTGCTTCAGCATTTAGTGAGGAGTGCTTTGCAGCCAAAAACTTGTTTCCAGGATACTTCCCCAGGACTGTCTTGGACAAGACATGGCGCTCTAGATTGACGGTCACTGATGCTGGGTTCTTGCTGTTCTTGCGCTACACGGATGCATGCCACCATCAGAAGCTGCCTGAAACCAGGGGAAAACTTAGCAAAGAGAGGTGTGCAGAACTCAGCCAACTTACTCAGCTGGTTGTGGCAGTGGAGGCTGAACTGAAGGAGGGCGGTGTGGTGACTTCCAAACTCACAGACGCCTTGCTGGACTGCGATGCGAACCTGGAGCTGGAGCTGCAAGTTGCTTTGAGCGAAAAGGCCGCCAAGTGGAAGCCTGCTGATCTGACTTTGGTTCAAGAAATTCTCAAGGCACATTCGGCCACAGCTGACTCCAAGTTCTTTGTTGAGAAGCGAGTGGTGGCAGCTGGTGAACTGGAGAGAGAAGAATTTGACCTCATGAAGAAAATGTTTGAGTACCTTGTCTGTCTTGTTTCATGTTCTTTGGGAAACTCCTAAAAAGGAATTGTTCGGGAGCCTGTTGGTACAACTATAATATTATATATTTATATATAAATAAAGACCTTGTAGAAAATACTGCTTGCTTGGTCTTTGTTTTCGAGATGGTGCCCATTGATTGGCCAAGCAAGGCATGACCTCAAGTCATTTGAGAATTGGAAGGTTCGATGCCAAGACAGAGACTCAGCAGTTTACCATGCGGAATTGCAGCACAAAGTTCAACGACAGCATGAAGCCCAAAAACAAGCCCAGAGTTTGTTTGACATCACTTCAGTGAATTGGTTTGCATCTTTGGAAGTCCTTGGAAGTCCCAATGAAGTTACCCACCGCATCAAAGCTACTGTGAACAAGCTCATGAAAACCTTCCAAGTTCGATCTGAGGAGATCTATCTTTTGCAAGTTTGTAACTGGAGCTCGCCTAGCTTGGTTTCCTCTGCTGCGCAGAAGTGCCAAGCCACAGTTCTTGGAGCTCTGTGCAATGATGCAACTAGCTCAGGTCGCTCATTGGGATGTGTTTTCGAGCCATGCCATACATACAACAAAGGGCAGCTTTGGAAGCAAGAAGAGATGCTCCACAAGATGTTGGTGAATGCCAGATGCAACATCGATGGTCGATTTGTCCTGCCCTTTGTTGAGCGACAAGATGACCGCGACCAGAGGCCTTCAGTTATAGGATTTTTTTTACAGTTTTTTATGTTTTCAAAGGCCAAAATATTAAGTAGTTACTGGATTGAATTGCCATCTGTGTATCTTTTATTGGAATGGCAGGTCAATGTGCCGTCATGGGAGGCGGACTTTCCCATCTGAAGATGAAGCCTTCGGCAAAGTCTGGAGTGAATGGAAGTCATGCCCGATCTTGAGCAAAGGACTTCTTGAAGAGGCCCACTGCCTACCAACCAAGGAGCTTGTCACCATTGAAGATTGCAGTGAGTCTGCGCTCCCAGCATCGACAACCTTGACCCACACCACAAATCCAGCAGAAAAATGTTGCCAACTTGGAAAGGATGCCTACCATTCATTTCTGAGGGGGGCATTGGGAACTTTGGGCACCAAGAGCTCTAAGCCAGTGGTGTTGGTTGTGGATCTCTTTGCGCATACAGGGGATCTTGCTTTGGCAGTGTTCAAAGAGAAGTTTGCCCCTGCGATGTCGAACCACCTGCATTACTTGGCGTTTCACGCCAATCAACTGGAGGCAGTGTTACAGTGATTTTTTTTTTGGGACCGTCCCAGGATTTATGACATTTGGCTTTCAAGTTGTTTTAGCCTTGGGCAGGTTGAATGGGCCAAGCAGCATCACATCGAACATGTCTTTGGCAACTTCTTGACTGGCGATTTCAAGCCTCTGACACCTCTGCCAGGGCCTCCTGACCAGCTGGCAATGCCAGGGCCCACGCCTCCTACTTTGAGTTTGTTGGCTTGGGGAACAGGAAAGGCCAAGGAAACTTTGAAGACCCCAGACAAAGTCTTGAAAGCTTGGTGGGATGGCAATTTCTCGCTTGAGTTCCGGGAATTTGTGGAGGCAGCCAGGCAGAACCATGAGCTTGACGTGAAGATCACTGATGATTCATCGACTGGTCGGCCCACCAAGAGGCCCAGGCTGACGGAGGCTGAAGGAGCTAAGGTGGAAACTCAGGCAGAGACTGAAGTGAAGGATGCTAAGATTGAGTCAAAGGACCTCAGTGACCTGCCAACCTTGTGCTATGAAGCCAAAGTCACTGCAAACCCGAAACTTGTTGTGAAGGTTACCATCGGCCAAGGTGTCTTCTTGGAGAACACTGGCACCAGTGATGAAAGCATCAAAGCTGGCGTGGTACTGTGTGGGTACTACAAAGGCAAGTTCTGGAGCCCAGATTCGACATCAGAGGCGCCAAGTGAGAAAGCAGATGTGACATTCAGGTTGACATCGAACTTGGATCATGTGATGCTGAATTCAAAGTACCAGCCTTTGGGTGACATCATCAAGGCCAAGCGCCAACTCACTCCTGCTGATGCACATGTCTCCTACCATGAGTTGATTGACTCCCCGACCCCGACAGATGCATCGGCTTTCAAGCTTGAGCCCAAGAAAATGACAGTGTACTTCAAGGTGGCTGACTTCCCTGCAGTGAAGACAGAAGAAGGCGAGGGCGAAGCCAAGCTGATGATCCCAGCTGCCCATTTGGCTGGTGCAATCCCTGAGAAGGTATGGCGTGACAGCCAGCTTGCTGAGATTGTTTGGGCCGTCAAGTGGCCCGCAGTTGCTGCCAAGGGTTTGCAACCAATCCGCCCAATGGTAATGACTTCAAAGGAGTTCGTCATTAAGAGCAAGACAGCTGTTGTGATTGCCAAGCCCAATGTTTGAGCACAAGAAGCAGCCAAGGTGGTTCCATCCATCCACTTGACATTGAAGGTTTCATTTCCAAAGTTTTGGCAAAAACTCTCCCAATTAAAGTTTGCTTCAGCTGTCATCATTGTATTCTAAATTTGGAAACCGCTGCTGCTTCGATTTTGAATGTCTTCCAAAGACGGGGCCGGATGCATTTCTCTCAGTTTTGGTTTTTGAACATAAGCTTGCAACTTGCAAGTATCTTGAAAATTTGAATTGCTTCAATTTACTTTGTGCATCCAAATCTTGAGATCTAGGGCCAGACCACCCGACTGACCTTCAGTCTGTGTGACTTGCGCAATGCGATCATTGAGCAGAAAAAGGTTGAGCCATATTTTTAGCCAAAGGTGCTGGAAGAGTACCAGGTGCTGGAAAAGTACCTTTGGGCTTTTCATAGCTGTTGTCATTGGTCATTATGCATTGTTACTTCCTTTCGTGGCAGGTACTAGCTGCTTGTCGAAGCGCTCAGGCCTCAGATTCATGAGCGCTTGTGACAGTATGTTGAGCAAGCCTTTTTAAAACTTTGTTTGCTTCAGGTGTGCTCTTAGCATGCAAAAGCATGGGCCTCAGATTCAATGCATGACACCTTCTATGTTGTTTTTATGTTTTGGTGCTGGAAGAGTACCACAAGGTGCTGGGAGAGTACCAGTTCTTACTGAAATTCAAACGGTGCTGGAAGAGTACCACATAGTAACGGTGCTGGAAGAGTACCACAAAGTTCTTGCGCAACGGTGCTGGAAGAGTACCACATAATAATCCAAACAGTCAAACCTAAAGAATGCTGGCATTGAGGCTGGAGCGAGGCGTTTCCAACGATGCACCGCCCTTGCCCTAGTTTTGGAGTTAGTAGCGTTTTCTGCCTTGTGATTTGCTTTGCGCTTTTGCAGGGTTTTGTTTGGCAAGCAATTCGTTTTATTTTTCCATTGTCTTAAATTGTGCTCAAAGTTTCAGCTTGCAATCTTGCAACAGATTTCAACTTGGCTGATTGACGCTGCAGCCATGTCTGATAGGAGGACGCAGCAGGAGACCCTGCCGCAGAAGTCAAAGGCAAAGTTGCCTCAACCAGTGGTGGCGAAGGCTGTGGAGCACAAAGCTATGCCAGTGCAACGGAAGCAGACTCAGACTGAGAAGTTGGGATCCAGCGCAAAAATGATGCCAGAGAAGCCACATGAGAAGGCAGAGCCGACAAATAGCCGGCAAGATACCCCTCATCTGCTGGTTTCAGGGCCGCCTTGCACTGTCTTCAGCGATGGTCGTCATCAGACAAGGCCAGTGACACCTCCAAAGGCTCCGGCAGCCAAAGGCGGTCAAGCCCCTTCAGGCCCTCCAGGCCCACCAGGCCCACCACCAGGCCCACCACCTTCGAAGGAGCAGATGCAGGAGATGATGAGGGCTTCAGCCAAGGCGATGGCTGACATGAAGAGTCCTGCAAGCTCTGCATCAAGCCCAATAATGCCAAGCCCAAGACCTATGATGATGGGAGTGATGGGCTCTGGGCAACAGCAGATGTGGATGCCACCGCAACAACCTGTGACACCTATGACGATCCGACCTATGGTCCCTCCTGGTATGCCTGGACAGCCTCCAATGCAAACCATACAGCCCACCATGCAGCCAATGCAGCCTATGCAACAAGGACCTACTATGGTGCAGCCTGTGCAGCCTACTATGGTGCAGCCTATGCAGCCTACCATGGTGCACCCTATGCAGCCAGGACCAGTTGCGCAGACTGTGCCACAGCACCTGCAGCAGCCTTCAGTGGTGGAAAGGTTTTGCAATCCGAAAGGGCCCATGAAGATGCAAGAGGCCAAGGCGAGCACGGAGATATGGATGGAGGAGATGCCATCTGGGTCAGCTGGATCTCGTTATGAGGGAGGTACCTACATCCCTGCGCAACCTCAAGATTGGAAAGAGTGGAATGAGGATTCGAAGAAAGCTGCTGCCAACAGAGGCCACCGGCACACTCCTACCCAGGTGAGGCGAGAAGCGTTTCAAAGAGAAGCTCAACTTCGGGAGCACTATGAGGCCAAGCTGGCCGTCCAGAAGGAGTGGTATGAGGCAAAGCTCGTGGCGAGCCGTGCGGAGGTGGTTGCAGCCAAAGCCATCATGCTTCTCAATGGCCTGGATCCAAATCAGACAATTGATCAACAGGTCCTGGAGGACACCATGAACCAGCCTGCCGGCAAGAAGGCCAGGCAGGGCTGACAGATCTCAGAAGGGCTGGCAGACCTATGAAGGTTTGAAATGCTGCCGAAAAATGAGTGAGCGCACTTTTGGCTTGAAGTTGCAGTAGTGTTGAATTCATTCTTGCCTTACTTGTTTGGTTGACAGCTCCGAGGCCCAAAAGTGTTTTCTTCCAGCACCTGCCTCCCAGTTGTCAGTGCGATAAGCAACACTTGTTGTCAAAGGGAGGTGCTGTAAGAGTACCAAGTATTCAAGTAGCATGTCATGTGGGTGCTGGAAAAGTACCAAGTATCACTGTTGTCATTTATTTCTGTTGCTGTTTCTGTGTTATCTTCTTGTTGCTACTCTTGCTGCTGTGGTTTTTCTGTTTTTTTTTGCAAAATTTCATTGACCCTAGGTGATCAACTTTGCAGTTCCTGGCGGGTGGAGTCTGGGGCGCCATATCGCTTTCTTGCAGATGGCTTTCTTGTAAACAGCAGTCACTGTGCTCACTCACTGTCTATTTCTGCTTTTCAACCTATTTTTCAGTGCTGGTGCAATTTCAGTTTCATGGCATTCTTTCAGGGCCAATTCAATTTGACTTTCGTGGCGCTCTTTCAGCGCCAATTCGATTTCAGTTTCATGGTATTCTTTTAGGGCCAATTCAATTTCACTTTCATGGCGCTCTTTCAGTGTCAACTCGATTTCACTTTCATTCACTCTTTCAGGGCCAATGCAATTTCACTTTCATGGCAGTTCATTTTTAAATGTTAATTTCAATTTCTAGGCACTCTTTCAACGCCAGTTGATGGCACTCAGGACCAGTTCAACGGCATTTTTTAAGGACTGATTCATGACATTGTTTCAGTGTCAATTCATGGCGCTTAGTTAGGTTTGTTTGGTTTGAAGTTTCATGGCACTCTTTCAGTGCCATACGTGGTTTATTATATGGCGACTCTTTCAGTGCCATACTTGTTATATTATATGGCGACTCTTTCAGTGCCATACTTGGTTTATTATGACTCTTTCAGTGCCATACTTGGTTTATTATGACTCTTTCAGTGCCATACTTGGTTTATTATATGGCGACTCTTTCAGTGCCATATTTGGTTTATTAGGACTCTTTCAGTGCCATACTGTGTTTATCATATGGGGCCTCTTTCAGTGCCATACTTGGTTTTTTAGGACGCTTTCAGTGCCATACTTGGTTTATTATATGGCGACTCTTTCAGTGCCATACTTGGTTTTTTAGGACTCTTTCAGTGCCATACTTGGTTTATTATATGGCGACTCTTTCAGTGCCATACTTGGTTTTTTAGGACTCTTTCAGTGCCATACTTGGTTTATTATATGGCGACTCTTTCAGTGCCATACGTGGTTTATCATATGGCGACTCTTTCAGTGCCATACTTGGTTTATTATATGGCGACCTTTGCAGTGCCATACTGGTTTTATTATATAGCAACTCTTACAGCGCCATACTTGGTTTACTCTAAATATCTCTTACAGTGCCATACTTGGATTAAAACAGCAACTCTTTCAGCGATCATACTTGGTTTAAAACAGCTACGGTGCCATACTTGGCTTTAAAAATGGCAACTCTTACAGTGCCATACTACTTGGTTAAACTTTGACAACTCTTACAGTGCCATACTTGGTTAACAACGGCAACTCTTTCAGTGCCGTATTGGAGTTTGCAAACGTTTATTGATTTCACATATGGTAGCATGGTACTCTTACAGTACCAACCCCTCTCTGCTGGCACTCTTACAGTGCCAAGGGTTTCCGGAGTTTCTCCCGTTGCTTCCTGACATGAAACCTGCAAGGTTCAGTTTAAATGTAATAGTTTGTGCAACTTAGGTCTGGTATATTAACTGCCGCAACTTTAAGTAGGATTGTTTGCTTGTGCCTGACCCAACAAATTGAAACCCAACATGCAAATGAGCTTCCAACATACAACACCCTGGTTGATTCTCTTGAATACTATACCATTCATCTTCATCCAACCCAACCCAGCTCAATCCAATTCAACCCAACCCAACCTTTGAAAACATATCAGCAAAACCAAACTCAAAAAACCAAATTATACTAGGCAAAAAGCTGAATTAGCCAGGCGGACCCTTTGTTAGGGCATTCGAGGCTGCCGTTTGCCAGCCTTCAAACCCTTAAAACCCCTAAAACGCTCCACGGCAGCTTCCACCAAGGCCTCTGGCCGTCAGCCTTTGCTTCCACCAAGCTCCTGGCTGCGCTCCAGCATTGCAGCCTGCCCTTTACCTGCACATAGCCCTTTCTTGTTAGGGCATTCGAGCCTGCCGTTTGCCAGCCTTCAAACCCTTAAAACCCCTAAAACGCTCCGCGGCAGCTTCCACCAAGCCCTCTGGCCGTCAGCCTTTGCTGCTCCAGGGTTGCAGCCTGCCCTTTGCCTGCACATCCCTCGCGGCAGCTTCCACCAAGCTCCTGGCCGTGGGCGTTCCAGCATTGCAGCCTGCCCTTTGCCTGCACATAGCCCTCTCTGGTTAGGGCATTCGAGCCTGCCGTTTGCCAGCCTTCAAACCCTTAAAACCCCTAAAACCCTCCGCGGCAGCTTCCACCAAGGCCTCTGGCCGTCAGCCTTTGCTTCCACCAAGCTCCTGGCCGTCAGCGCTCCAGCATTGCAGCCTGCCCTTTACCTGCACATAGCCCTCTCTTGTTAGGGCATTCGAGCCTGCCGTTTGCCAGCCTTCAAACCCTTAAAACCCCTAAAACGCTCCGCGGCAGCTTCCACCAAGCCCTCTGGCCGTCAGCCTTTGCTGCTCCAGGGTTGCAGCCTGCCC